AACTGAATTTCCAGGAAAACTCTGCGGGGTGCTTCCTGTCTGGTCTTTGTAGCAGTGAAGCAGGCCCTATTCTTGAAACCAAGAATCGGGCTAAGTCACCCTTGAATGTTCCTTACTACATCTTATGCTTAATTTCTCTAAAAGAAATCTTGATTACAAATAAAGCTGGTGGTGTCAGTGGTACGGCTACATAATATATATAGGTATTATAGCCTAGTATGTTATTAAATAATAAATTATGAGGAATGAATAAATTATTGGCTTCCCAATAATTATTTTTGCTTACTAGTATGTATTTAATTATTCAGCATCCTAAAGGCTCCACTGACATCAATGGCAACAATAAAACGACGTTTCGAATTTGTTGGGCGGGGAAACACCTGCGCCATATAGTAAGACTGTCTGATCCTAACACTGTATTGATAATACGCGTTATAAACCAATTAAACTATTATTAAGATATCCTTCTGAAAAACTTAAAATGTCGAAAATATGTTGAAATATTTGACAATATTGTAACAGACGAATCTCAGTGATTTGGGGTGAAATACAATGATAATTTACTAAGAATATAAACACAGGCACAAATACTATTAAAAACCATATGTTGAGTTTGTAGGGGTCTCACCCTTCACAAGGAACTTGACTTGCTCCAGCCGTAAAATCACAAGTTTTAGTATTGTATTTAAGCATCCTGTTGAATTAATACATCTTATGTACACATATATTTCCGTCTTAAATGCAACTTACCATATAATCGCCCTTCTTCCTCAATACATGCTTCAGCTGTATACGGCCATCATCAGGTGCTGTCTATCTTGCTAAAATTGTTGCACTGTATGTCAAAATTCCGTATCGCTTGTGAACGCGATATTTATTTTAATTAGGAAATCACTCGCTCACGCACGATACGTAATTTTGATATCTATCTGTCTATCTACCTACCTATCTATCTATTTGTCTCTCTGTCTGTCTGTCTGTCTATATCTATCTACCTATCTCTGTTGCTCCCACTTGGACCATAGCACATCCGTGACACGCTTCGTTTCACTTCATTGTCTTGATCTTAGACGGTCGATAGGTTTCCTGGGACGGGGGATCAGCCCGACGCAAGGCCGCTACCTACACTGGACAAAACGAACATAGAATAAACGGAAACATACATGCTTTGAGTGGGATTCGAATCGATGATCACAAAGTTCGAGCGAACGAAGGCAGTTCATACCTTAGACCGCGCGGCCACCGTGATCGGAAATTTTGACACAGAGTGCAACAATTTTAGCAACATAGACAACACCTGATGATGGCCGTATACGGCCGAAACATGTAATGAGTAATGAGGGTGACTACATGATAAGCTGCATTGAAGACGGAAATATATGTGTACAAAAACATGTAATTAATGTGAAAACAATGTAAATGATTCACGCAATTCGGAGATCAGATAAATAAAACACTTGCCTAATTACTGTATGACGCGGGAGAAGCATATAAGCAACTAGCCGTGATTCAATGCGACAAAATACGTCATAATGTTACCACAACATTTCACGTCCAGATGAAAATACGGTATCTTTCAAGATATATCGCTTAGAGTTCATTTGCAGTCAGTGAGAAACTGCGACAGCAGTAAATGAAGGAAGGCACAGACGTATGAACCAAGATGTGCAGCTTCGTACGTAGTATGAAGTTATATCTGTGCAACTGAAAAAGCATGACCTCTATGAATGAAATTCAACATTTTGTAACTACATTTAATTACGTAACGATGTCGCATATCCAAGCCTTTCTTTACTTAATGGATAATAGATTATGGAAGGAAATGTTCCATATGAAGAGTATGAAGAAAGCAGTCTTCTGGGATTTGGCACCGTGTATATGTGGTGTTAACCGACGTTTCGGAGGAACGTATCGCCTCCATCTTCAGGGTAGAAGGAAAAATATAAGAAATCCGCAAGCGAAGAGACCGTGAGAACTGGTAAAAGCAGACTGGTCTGCTTATACCGGTGCCAAATCCCAGAAGACTGCTTTCTTCATAGTCACCGTCGTGAAAGTCTCAAATCTTACATGAAGAATATGGTTTGACAAATCTGCGAATTGTCGACTACCCAATGTATTTGCCCCAAAACGAGCCCCGGCCACCCAGCTGATTACGAAACTCAACTATTCCAGCTTATGAGGGAATCCTGGAAGTTTCAAAAACGTGGAACTAATCAATAAATCTGCCAGGGCTACAGAATCGGAAGACTTTTTACGTGGATGCATCTGGATGTGTCTCCTTCCTCGATCTGTAGACGTATTCGTAGACTTGGATGGAGCTGGTGGTGATGATACTGACGATGATGAGGTGATTATCATTTACGTAGATTCATGAGGTTTAGCCATTTTAACCCAGCTCACCAAACAGGTTTGATAGCGTTAATAATCTAGACCCGTATTCGGGAGGCACACAGTTCAAATCTCTGCAGGTAACCAAACATCCTGACTGAGGTTCTTCGTTGTTTTTCTCAGTCCTTCTCGAAAGTATTATGACCACTTCCTTCCAGATTCTTTCCAATTCATCTATCTTCTATCTATTGGACACAGCCTAGTCTAATTGCTTTAAGCATCGTTAAATAATCCATAAAATTCCAGTTTACAATCTCACTACGTATTTCATCAAGATAAATCATAATATTATTTGCCACTAATTATTCGTCTTAGGATTTTCCTCTTTCCGAGAAATTTCGTCTCCCCTACTCTGCATAACTACTGGCTTCCCATCGAAGTTCTTATCCGAGATGTGGGATGCGGAAACAGAATAAAATTTAACTATGAAACATGTTTAGACTTTATTTTTTGTTTATTTTTGACTTTACTGATTTACGCTTTTACTTATTTTTAAATTGTGGGCACGCGGTAGCGTAGTTAATTGAGGCACTATGCTACAAGCCGTAAGGTCGCGGGTTCGAGTTCCGATGAGGTGTTTTTTTTTCAGTTGACTTAATCCTTCCAGCCGCAATATTGTCCTGCGGTCGACTCAGCTTCTAACAGAAGCGAATACCAGGAATCTTCCTGGGGCGTAAAGGGCGGCCGGCGCGTAAGACTGACAAATTTACTGCCATCTGTGAGTCGGCTGTCTAGAGAAAATGTGTGAGCCTCGACGTCTCACGATCCTATGGACCTTCACGGCCTGTTACAAGGATAGCTTTTATTTATTTTTAAATTTGTTTTGTATAGATTTAGGTAGCAATTTAGATAGAAACTGTTTTATTCAGAACTTCAGAGAATTATGCGCGAGCCTTTTAAATTAGAACAGATTTAGACATCAGACATAGAGTGATTCGTAGCGAGATACAACTAAATAATGTACAGCAGTTAACTAACTACTTAGTAAGAGGAAGCGATAAGCGGC